TGCTCTGTGGTCACATGCTCTGTCACATGCTCTGTGGTCACATGCTCTGTGGTCACATGCTCTGTGGTCACATGCTCTGTCACATGCTCTGTGGTTACATGCTCTGTGGTCACATGCTCTGTGGTTACATGCTGTGTCACATGCTCTGTGGTCACATGCTCTGTCACATGCTCTGTGGTTACATGCTCTGTGGTCACATGCTCTGTGGTCACATGCTCTGTCACATGCTCTGTGGTCACATGCTCTGTGGTTATCTGGATGAGGTAGAGAGGGGGAAATGGAGAGAACAGACATCTTCATTCACCCTAGGAAGAGCACTTTACATGTAACAGTTCCTCCTGCAAAAGAGTTGTTCAATCACTATCTGTGATTCTGTGGCCTTAAAATCAGGGACAATCCTGTAAGAGGATAGAATTTCTCTCTGGCATAGACATCAATAGATAGAAAAACAAAACCTCCTGCCTGAAGGTCCTCTGATCATGGCTCTTTTCCGTGTCTACACCTCTCTCCACCTATACGGAAGAGGGGCTTTGCATGGTCATGTCTCTGTACCCACCCCAGTCCATACAGGTAGACCTCTTAAAAGAGGTAACCCTTTGTCAGCCATAGATCCAGACATGCAAGCAGACTTAAAGGGACCTTCCATCAACAGGTCAGCCTAGGAACAGATGAGCAGTCGTATGAGTGGTAACAGAGAAAGTCCAAGCAAGGAATTCTAGGGGCTTGAATACCCAGGGTATAGCTCAGGGAGTCTGGGTTGTTAGGTTCCCAGGATCACATGAACTACTTATCCCGTAGGGAGGGGTCTGTTTGGAGGAAAAACAGAATGGGAGTCCACTGGTTCAGAGACTGAATGTGAATCAGTGGTTTTCAAAGTGTGTTCCACAGACCAACAGCAGCAGCCTCACCTGGGGACATATTAGAAATGCRAGTTCTCAGGCCCCGACTCCAGACCTACTGAATCACAGGGTGTATTTACATGATATCCCCAAAATCTGTTTGCACACTGTGATTAGAGGAGCCTTGCAAAGCATGCGGGACCCAGGGCTAAGACTGAGGGTGCCCAGATCTAGGATGGTACCTCTGCTCCTAGTTCACTTTCTGGTGCTGCTTCCTTCCCACCCACAGGTGCAACTCTGAGAGGTAGGGATAGGACTTCCTGAAATGTCTAGAGACTTTGGTGATTCGGGGAACCTGGGTGTAACAGAAGGAAAGCATCCCCGTTCCAAAGCCTGATCAGGGATATGCAATGAAAACATGGGAGATTTAATAAATGAGTCATGTATTGTTTACTCTTTTGCATTTTGAAGGAATAAATGAATCACTGTACAGAATTTGTGTGAATGGGGATGAAGAGGATTTTTTTTTTTTTAGCCTGAACTGTTCTCATACAGTGTAGTGGTCAATGAACAATATGATCTGTGTTAGTCAGTTTTTCATTGCTGTGACACAATGCCTGAGGAGGAAAACTTAAACAAGGAAAGACTTACAGTGGCTCACGGCTTCAGAGGTTTCAGTCCATGGTTGGTGGGCTCTTTGCTGTGGGCCTGAGGAGCGGCAGGACATCACAGGGAAAGGACCTGGAAGAGGAAGGCTGCTCAGCTCATGGCAGTGGGAAAGCAGAGATCAAGGAAGGGACCAGGGACAAGATGAACCCTTCCAGGACACACTTCCAGTCACCTCATCCTCCAAGCAGACCCCTCTTCCATGGTTTCCACCACCTCTCAATAACTCATCCAATTGCAAATTTGTTGGGGGATTAATCCACTGAGGAGGTCAGAGTGCTCAGGATCCAGTCACCTCCCATAGGCCCCACCTCTGAACACTGAACATTGGAGACCAACCCTTCAACACATGAGCCTTTAAGGGACGTTCCAGGTCCAAACCTTAACGTTATCCTTATGGGCGTGCAGCTGGGAGGTAAAGGTAGCCACTATAAAGTGACTGAGAGAATTAAATATTTGGCTCATTATGTTCCCGTGATTCAAAAAAAAAAAAAAAAAACCACTCCCAATAATTTGAAATAGTGATATGGTGGCTGATTTACTGACTCTGTGAAAGTCTTGAATCCATAGAAACTCTGTGAAAATAAAAGTAGAAATTCAAATTTACTTCTTTTAGCAAACTTTTTGTTATCAAATATTAAATGCTTTGAAAATGCCCACTTCCTCCCTTTCCTGGTTTGTAAAACCTCAAAGACACAAGTGCTACTTGGAAGGCCCTGAATTTCTCATTTCCCCTGATTCTCAAGCCCCTAAGTTCTGCAGGGGACAACGCTGTGAGTTGGATGCATGATGAACCTGTGCACGTGGACCCGGACTCAAAGGGACTCAGTGCATCTTAGCCCTCAATGCAGTCCTCAAATCCCCAGGTCCCAGCATCACAGAATTTCAGGATTCAGGAGATTTGTCTAAGGTTGTTTTCTTCACATTTAATTTTGACCATATACAATGTAACTGCCAAGTGGTTAGGTAGAGTCGATAAGAAAATAAAAGGTAAGGGGACAAGTCCTTTTCTGAGAGCTGCTCTGAAGTTTCCAGCCTTCTGTTTCAGGTCTACTTCAAGGGGTCATTGAAAATAATATTCTTGGCATTAGGTTCAATTCAAATATTTGAAGATATGATCATGTTTTCTCCAGTCCCATTACCTGCCCACTTCTCTCCAAATAATTCTGCACATCTTAAAGATAAGCCCTCTCATTTCCTACATCTCTTCCTTGTGTACAACCCCAAGCCTTCAGTTCCCTAACTTCCTGAGTGTCGAGTGTCATTGTTTTGTCTGTGGTGGATGTCTTTTGTAAAGTATGACATAAACAACTGAGACCATCAAATGACGAGATTTCTAAAGCATGTGGAACAGATCAGTACTTCCAGCATGCTTATTTCAAATACTGTATTTCTACTAATAAAACTGAAGGTCACATTTGCTTTTCTGACTGTCATTTTGCCCTGATTGTGTGCTTATCCAAGTGATTTTCAACCAAATACAAACTAATATTTATAGTTGTCAAATTTCACCTAGTCTCACTTCTTTTATCCAAACACTAAAAACCAMTGCGGAGACTGATTTCATGTTTCTCTCACCCTTCCAAAAGTAAATATGATGAACATAGCTTCTATAATATCTTCATCTAAATAATTGATTAGGTAGTTGAAAAAATATATATTGGATTATAGGAGCAGTAATTTCATCAGTGGATCAATCCATTTATATGAAGTAACAATTTTTAAAATATTTTTTTTAGTTGTCAATGGACCTTTATTTTACTTAGTTATATGTGGTGCTGAGAATTGAGCCCAGTGCCACATGCTAGGCAAGCACTGTACCAAAGAGCTACAACCCCAGCCCATGAATTAACAAGTTGCATGGACTACTGGGTGGTGACTGTAGGTAGAGGGGATGTGACTGGAAGTAGTAGCTCACTGGAGGCATGCTCTTGGGGACTGTGTCTTTTCCCTGTGCTTCCCAGCTCCTATGAGCTGCCATACACTTCCACCATGATGTCCTACCTCCCTCAGGTTGGAAGTAATAGATCCCACTGACCATGGACTAAAACTTCAGACACTGTGAGTCAATAAACCTTTCCTCCACCAGGTTTTTGGTCACAGCAACAGAATGCAAGGCATATGCCATTTCCATAACCTTCTAACTGGTCTCACTACATCCATTCTCATCTTTTTAAAAATATCTATCATTACCCTATCTATCACAGATTACCATATCTATCAAGGATGTTAACCATACATATTTTATCATATATATTCCCTATCAAGTATACTTAATACCTCTCAATTGTTCA